CAGGCAAATTTTCTACAGATAGCTTAGAACTACTAAATTAATGATTTAATATTTGAGAGTAGAGATAATAAAGATTTAGATATAACAATGTACAATCAACTAATCTGCAAGTACAATAAACAAGTGTCAATATGAATGCATTGATGCACACTCAGTGAGACATAGCATAATGAAAGCGTGTGGACTATTAATACTAGTATTACAATTGGGGCCTTAACAGCTCAGATATCATATTTGTATCCTTATAACTCAAAAAATTTGTGATTAAACTAGATTTAATATTTCAAGATGACATAAGGCATTGATGTGTAATGGAAAAAATAATCAAAACCTTTTGAAGCTATTCCAACTATCAATATTGCTTGACAAATTAATGCACTTAGAAGATTGCTTACTCCACTTGGTTAATCATGAATTCTTGATTTGGTTTGTACAGCATAACACAAGCACCAATCCGACCAGCTTTACCAGTCCTACCACTGAATCCAAGTATCGGAATCCTACAAAAAATATAAGATTATGTTCAATAAGAGACAGAAATCGCAAGTAGATTAATTTATTGATAAATCAACTTATAAATTTGCAATTGCTTACTAAGGTATCATAAACTATCTACAGATTGTGTTTCTAATTGGACAAGATGAAATAAACTGCCAAGCTTTAATTAGTTTATTTAACAAGACTTATTATAAGAATCTAAGAACTGCATAGTAACTAGTGAAGCAAGAGGCAACTATGAGACTCATCATAGCATTCATTATTTGCATGATAGTGAATGTCATTAGTGTAGAGATACCACCTGCAGACTGTAAGTTAATAATAATGCAATAGAGACTAGTGTAGGATTCATCAATGGTTCTTATAGACTTTGATGAAGACATTGAAAATGAGTCTTGCCCAGAAGTAGAAAGAGGTAAAAATTAATAATGCATAATAAAATGTCACATTATTATTGTATATAGCTGAGGATGAAGAGGATCTAGTACTCATTGATGGTGATATATTAGTTACTAAAGAACAAGCAGCAATATACTATGAGAGTGGCTGGGATGGACTAGTAAACTCTCAAAATTGGATGAAATTAAATTCATTGAATGAATGGAGCAAGACAATACCACATGAAATCGATCAGCAATTTGTCAGTGCTACAGGCGGGGATGATAAATCTATCAAATCTAATATTTTTCTCTCATTGAAAGCTCTTCAGGATAAGACTTGTTTAAAATTTCCACAAAAGAGATGTTCAGATCCATATTACTTAAGCTTTGTTAAAGGAGATTCGTAAGCTAACTATTAGTGTTAGAAAAATTAAATTCCTGTTATTCTTTTCAGTTGCAGTACATATTTAGGAAAACCTTTTGCTGGAGCAAGGGTCATTAACCTAAAAGCTAACTGTGCAGCAGGTACTGACAGAAAGATGACACCAGCACATGAAGTCATGCATGCACTTGGTAGAGCTCACGAACACCAAAGAGCTGACAGAAATCGATACGTTACAATTGCTTACTGGAACACATGTAAACTTACATAATCAATAACTGTTGCTTTATTTGTAAAGGCAGGTAATAGTCAGATGACCATTAAAGAAGGATTCAGAACTTTCAACCAACCATATGATTACTACTCCATCATGCATTATAGTCCAAAGCAATGCCAGTATTACTCTTATACTAGTTTGGCCTATCAGGATTCAATGACATTCACTTCTCAACTTAAGGGTTCATCATCAGATGTGGGACAAAGAGGATCATTGTCACCTGGAGATATTCAACACATTAAAAGAGTTTACTGTCCTAGTGTGTACTAAAGCCAACATGCACTATGCAACATTTGTTGCATGCAACACAATTTATACAGGAATCAATGGAGCTTGCAATATGTTGCATGAAATAGAACTGTTTCCTATTTCATGCAACATGTTGCAAGCTCCATTGACTCCTGTATAAACTGTGTTGCATGCAACAAGTTGTTTGCAACAAATGCTGCATAGTGTATGTTGAGCTTAACAAGTATAATA